ACTCTCTCTCTCTCTCTCACACACACACACACACACACACACACAAATTAAAGATTAAATTAAAGATAAGATATCTCACGCAGAGAAACTCACGTAATAAAAAGGGTTTAAAAACAATTGAAATTTGTAAGTTGTTCAATGTAATGTGTTTTGTTTAATTATATACCCGTCTTGTAATTCACATTTTTAAAATAATTATTAAATTGTTTTTATTTTCGTTTTGTAACTGCTTCCTTATTTGTTGACAGAATGTCTTTTTTTGTTTACTAACTAAAACCAAACTTATTTTAAAAACGAACACTTGAGTTTTATAAATCAGCGTGATAAAAGCGAACTATAATGACAGAAACCATCTCAAGGTTATTTGAAGCGTCACGTGCCATTAGATTACACGGAGAGGGCGGGGTTTATGAGCTGTTCTGCATCCATCGAAACCATTTCACTTTTCAGGAGTACTGCGGCACACTTCAAGGTGTATAGCACTTTCCAAAAGAGAAGCAGTGGCGTTTATTATAAGTGTGTCTACATCAGCAGGTTTATCTAATGTAGTAGACTAAGCTTTATAAGCTCACAGTGTCTCGTGTAAATTAAAATGTAAATTTTGTCCAAATGAACTCATGTCAGCTCCTGGGAGAGGCTGTCGCATAGCAAGAGGAAAGCTGCTTTCGGTATCAGTTCCAGACTGGATCGTGTTCGTCAGGGAGAGCTGACCAATCAGAGATGCTGCTCTCGGTGTTGCTAGGCAACATCACATCACTACATCACTACATCACTCTGGGAGCCGCTTTCTAGATCATTCCAGTTCCAGCAGTTCACTGAGGAGCCTCTCCTGTGTTTACCTGCTTGTGCAGCTTCCTGAGAAGATGTAAGTTCATCCACTCAGCTGCTGTATCTGTCTTAGTTACTTGATGTGTTTGCTGTTGATTCCACTAGTGTGTTTATTGTGCATTATTGAAGCGAGACTGCACATATTCATTGACTCTGCTCTACACCTTATAGGCTATATTATGTGTGCAGTCAATCTCATTCTCAGTGTTCATTTATTTCCTTATTGTAATCTTCTCTTTTAAACTGTTAATATGTGATAGAGTTATGATGACTCAGCACTGATTTGCTGAAACCCATTAACATGCGCCACAAGCGGCATCTAGTTCTAGTATTACAAGTCTGGCACTGAGAAGCAGATTAGAAATGTTTACTGCTGTCTGGCAAGTGTACATGTTCTGTTGAGACCCATTATATATGCAGTAAATCACTGTATAAGTAACAATTTTAGCATCTTATTTATATTACAGGTAAATTAGGAATATATAGCGCTGAAAGATATGTTAAACTTAAAAAATATTAATATTTTAGTACATTTTTGTATGGTTTAGTTTGTGTTATTGATCAATTTTAGATGCTCACAAACAGAGAGAGTTTCTAGGCACTGTAAAAAAGCCAAAAAGCTAATAAAGTAAATGCAGAAACTGTAGCTTGGGTGGCACTCTTAAAACCCGTTCACACACCAAGAACAATAACTATAAAGATAACTGTAATGATAAAGAATAACAGCTTACTAATATTTCTGAACAGAGAGTCCCCCCCCCCTCACTACAGTGTGTCATAAGTTCAGTATCGCAATATTATCGTATCGTGAGATTTTGATATCGTTACATCCCTATTTATCAATTCTTTCTGTTTGCCAACATACTGTAAATGACATGATCATGATGAGTATTTTTGGTGGAGAATCCCCTGAGGGATAAATAGGGATGTAACGATATCAAAATCTCACGATACGATAATATTGCGATATGAAGTCCACGGTACGATATTTATTGCGATATGTGGTCCATGATACGATATCTCCCAAAGCATAATGGCCCAAAACACAACTTTAAAGACCTTTTATGTTAGAATTAGAAGTTTAAATATATTTTAAAGACTAAATTTTTTGCCCGGAAGACCTATCGTTTCATATCGTCATGTGACCATGATAATATCTAGACGATAATATTTTCCTATCGCGATATTGATAATACCGTTACATCCCTATTCATAAATATACCCACAAGCAGCAATGTTTTAGGCCGAGCAAGAGAGCATCAGAACAGTAGAATAAAATGCTTATTACTTTTCAAAAATCTGCTTCTGCCGTCATTTAAAAACTAATTTAATGATACAGACTTTTAGAATGATACAGGACATTTTGACACACACAAACACTGATACATTTACATGCACAAGTGTCTTTAAATAACTGTTATATAACTGTTTCTGTCTTATTTCAAGACCCTCATATAAAGGGAAAATGTCTTGGAGTAATACCGTCTCTACAAATCTGGGAAGGTGTTCAGAAGTGCTTGCTGGCAAGTATGCATATTGTGTTGAAGTGTATTATTTGTGATTAATTATTTATCTTTTTCAGAATGTTAAAGTGCCCCTATTATGGGTTATGAAAGGTTCATATTTTGGTTTTAGGTTGACATGCATGCAAGGTCAAAAAACACTTTCATTGTCTTATAATACGCATTTATTTTTACCTTATTTGCTCAACGACTCCCAAACGATTCGCTCAACGATTCATTTTTCCAAACCCCTCCTCTGCGTGACGCTAATCTGCGCTGATTGGTCGATTTCATTTCCATTTCATAATAAAAGCAGTGTTTGTGAGCGCAGTGCTACTTTGTGTACAGCGTTACCGGGGAAACCGCTATTTTTACCGCTCCAAGAGCGGCACCTAGTGGCAAAGAATGAATTTGCATTTTCATTCAGACCAAGAAGTGGGCGGGCAATATGCTAATGTTACATGTTGACGTCAACATGGGATTCGTTTTAAAAACGACTCGTTTTAATGATTCAGAGTTGACTCTTTCTTTTGAGAGACAATAACTTTATACACGGTGCACTTTCAGATTTAAAACTTTGCAGGATGTTTTCATTCACTTAGAGCTGTGTTACACACTGCATGAAAGGTAGTTTACAAAAATCCATAATTGGGGCCCTTTAATTATTCTTGGTCTGGGTGGGTGGGGTATAGTGGGACTCCCAAACTAAAACTAAAGTAATATAACTCAGTTAAAATGAACAAAGTGAAAAAAGGAAGGGGAAAAAAAAGAACAAAGTGGTGTTACACAGTCTTGCTCTAACAAACAACAAAATAATGAATTCATTAAGAATGTCTTCTTAAAGAGCTAGACTATTTTTACAAACACAAACAAACTAATTGTGTTGATGTGTTGTTCTGTCCTCTTGACCAACAGCAAACGCCTCCAAGATGTGGTCTTTAGTCTCCTCAGACAAGAATGAACAGCTGATCAGATCTACTCAGACCCTCCATCACTATGTGAACAGATACTTCACAATCACCAACAGACTGTTGATCATAATCAATACTCACTTTGGAGAAAGCTACTCCAGTGTCTCTGCAGATGAGAGCAAAAGTATTAAGGACAACTGTGCCATAGTTAGAGAAGCTATGAGCATGATTCTTGAAGTTTCTAGAAGAAAGGAAAAGCAAATCCTTAAGATCATTGAACCTGATATTTATGATAAGATTGCCTTCACTGGGGTGTCACTGAAAGACAAGGCTGCAGTGATAAGGGACTTTCATGCGGACAAATTGGGAGTCTTTGGGAATATCTGTCTTCCACTAGTCGCTATTCAGCTGGCGAAAAGTGAGTTAGAGAACGTGAAGCCTCCAACCGAGGAGCATGATCTGCCGATTCTGTCCTTAAAACTGGGAGATCTCGTGAAGAGCAGCAAAAGCATCGCTAAGCTTCTGTGTGAACAAAGCCAGCAAACAGACCTCAGTGAAGCCACACAGTTAGTGGAAGACGGCATCTCTATTCTGAAGCCACCCTGCGATGCCTACAGTCACATTGCTGGAGAAGTCCAAGCCTATGTCAAAATCATATCTGAAAATATCTAGAGCAGAATAGGGCCGTATGCACGGTGTTCCTCATCATTGATATTTTATGCCTTCTATGCATGCAAGAAATGTGAGGCTACTTTATTATAGAGCACAGATCTATCAGGATTCAAATGTTTAGTAGAAACACATGGACTCAATTGTGTGCTGTGCAATTAAATAAAGAGAAAGCTTTCCAGAGTATTCGATTCCTGTTATACCTCTAAAATGACACCTCACTTTGTTCACCATTCAGTACTCCGTCGCTCCAGCACTAACTCACCACTAACATATAACATTACCAATAAAACCTGTTTTCAGTAGCTTCCACTGCTCTGTATCTAAATCAGTTATCATGGCTATTCGAGATTTGGTACATGTTCATGACTTCTTGAGATTTTATTCAAGTTTCATGACGTTTTGAGATTTTATTCATTTTCATGACTTTAAGATTTTAATATTTAAGACTTTTTGAGAATTTGTTCAATTGTCCGGACTTGTTGAAATTTTCCGCTCTTTTTTGGAGATCTTATTTCATTTTCATGACTTTTTCGAAATTTGATTAATTCTCATGATTTTCCAAGATTTTGTTAAATTGTCACAATTTTTTTTTCAATGTTCATGGCTATTTGAGAGGTGGTTCATTTTATTTTATTCATTTTCATGACTTTGAGATTTTAATATTTATGACGTTTTGAGAATTTGTTCAATTTTCATGACTTTTTGGAGATTTTATTCAATTTTTACGACTTTGAGATTTTAATATTTAAGACTTTTTAAGTATTATGTCAGTTATTTCAAGCAGATCTTATGATCAGCTAACAGACAAAACAATGAACCAAGAACACAAAAATTCCAAACTGCCCAATAAAACCTGTTTTCAGTATCTTCCACTGCTCTGTATCTAAATCGTTCTCCATTTTTATTTCTACTGAAAAATCCTGTTTGTGGTGACTACAATATGACCACATTATTACATCACCATATGAATAACTTTATTTCATGATAACAAATGTACATTGTTATAAAGTTAATTTGCTGGAAAAAATGCTGGTACGATACCAATATTTTAGACACTGGTCAAATTTCATAATTCTCTGTACTATGTCAATAAAACAGCTAAAACAAATACTAGCCTAACTCTTATAAAGGCTACACAAGTTATTCAGTCAGCTTCAGGAATATTAGGCTGCTGTCACTTTAAAAACCCATTGTTCAGATCCAGTGTATCGACACCTGACTTGCTTGTAAAATCAGTGGCCTCTAATGAACACGAAGACATGAAGCCAGTCCTTGTTTCTCAAATGTTTTCCAAATTGAGCAGCAGCTGACTTACTGACGAAGTCAGAATATTATGTAGGTGAGAGTCAAGTTTGCTTCTCATTTCACACTAGTTCAGCTTCATCAGACTGAAATTCTGCCACAAAGGTATAGGTACAATATCACTTGTGCAGGAAATTTCGCTGACAGTGACTCTGAATGGATCAAAATTGCTATTAATGCATTTATTATTATTATTATTATGCTGTATAAAGAGGCTTTCCTAAAGTGCTAATATTTCAGCAATATCAGTGCTGGGTAGGGATGGGTACCGAAACTCGGTATTAACCCATTTAATCCCACCGCTCACAATAGTGGCGGTAAAGAAGCTCTAAAAACCTTACTGAATTATGTTTTAGTGCATTTCCTGCAAATATGGAACAAATAAAGGGTCTCAATTTGTCACATGACCAGAGCAGTTCACTTCCTGTTTGCAGCTTGAGAAGTGATACTGCATAAACTGCATAAAAGCTCCAAAACAAAAGACTAGTAAAGTATGTTAAAGATTTTTGGTACACATTATCTTTAAGGTGTGTAGGATTAATATATGAATTCACATATATTCAGTTTTGTTGAGTGTGGTCATAGAATCAGTAAACATAGTGATGGTCACAATAGTGACCGCTGGGATAACAGTGAACTTAGGTTTACATATAAATCCAAATGCAGTTGTTAGTGAAGACTGCGCTGAAATGTTGCACTGACAAACTATTGCACTAAATTAAAAGTTAAAATGTTACAAATAAGTTACAATGTTGATGTTGTAATACTGGTAGCACTAATATAAAATGTTATGATCTATGTTACATTAAAGTAACAATTTTGAAAGGGTTACTAATGACACATCATTTGGATATTTTCATGTTTGGGAATAATTTGGGATTAAACGGGTTAAATGGGCCCCGGGGCTGAATTATGAAAGACCGGTGTATCGATAAGCTCTGATGTTAACGGTTCTGTTGTCGGTACTGGAGAAATCAAGAAAATACACATTAGGGTGGCCCTTATTTTTGGGCTTTTGAACTCTTCTGCTCTGACTCTCCCAGTCAACTCTCCTTAATGAGAAATGGAAACAAACCAAATGTAGCTGAGATTGGACTACGTTTGAAGTGTGCGCAACAAAGTTTACATTTTGTCTTAATGACCATAACAGCACATAATTAAAAATGATACAAAGCCATTAGTAAACTGTGAATTAGGTTAAACGAGAACACAGAAGAGTGTTGTTAATATGTTAAATTACATTGCTTCAGCCGCAGAAACTAGAACATTTTCGTTAAATAAAGTTTTTAATGCAACATATTTTACATTTAAACTTGTTTAACAAGCATTTTAGAAGTAAAATTAAACATTTAATCATCACGAAAAGACCAATGCGGATTTCAGAAAAAAATGTGCGATTAGTTAATTTTTAAATCGAGCACTCCCTTACCAAAAAGAGTTATATTTCAAGATTATTTATTAAGTAAAGTTCAAGTATATTTTAAGTATACTTTATGTAGTAAGTATACAAATATCAGTAGTATACTTGTAAGTGTACTATTTCAATACTCCTTGGGACTAAATTGGCCCACTTTCTAGTATATAAAAGTATACTTTTAAGTAAGTATAACAGTAGTAAACTTTGAGTACACAACTAGTTTACCTCTATGTTTTTAGTTTGTACTGCAACTATACTAAAAGTGAACTAGTGATAGTTTATTAATTAAATGCTTGTAGCATTTTGAAGTATAGTCTCAGTAAACTACTAGTTTAGTAGTTTTATACTGCAAGTATACTCATAAGTTTTTTTTAAGTGAACTTTACATCATACTTTTAAGTATGCTACTATATCCCTGTTTAGGTATTAATGTGTATATATTTTGTTATATGAATATCTGAACATACAAACATCAAAAGAAAGAACAGGGCTTTTGCTTGTAAACAAAAACATTATATTCTAGCTTCATGCATTCTTTTTATAAACACTTGAATGCACGTAAGTTTCATAAGTAAAAAAAAATAAATAAACAACATTTTAAATAAAAAGCTGAAAAAAAGAGTCGATCAACACCCCAAAGCTCATTTTATTCCATAAGGTTACACAGTTTTGATGCTGTTTTATGTCTGATCGTGTTAGATTACATGTGGAAGCATCTCTTGTTTTTCGGGTTTCTTCTTTGCTTGTGTTTTGGAAATTCTGTACAGAAGATGTGTAATAGCGCCCCCTACCTAACAATGAGAACATTCCCGGAGCACAAGTTTTTCTAAGTATAAGTATACTTAAATGTCATTTTAAGTATATTTCTGAGAAGTACATAAAAAGTAGACTAAAAGTATACCTTCCTATTTTAGTTTAAAAGAAGTATACTAAAAGCACACTTGAATAAACTTTTTCATAAGGGCTTATATATAGCCTACATGGATGATTATTTGAGCATCCAGTGGAGAAAGTACAGACATAGTGCAGACATACATATTAAGGTAATAGAATGAAATATAACGCTAATAATAAACAGAATAGAAAATAAATGACAAAAATAATAGCTAAATGGTAATAAAAATATAGATAAAACAGAATTACGAATGGGCAAATGTTTTAGGAAGTTATGTACAAAACAGAGAGAAAATAGAATTATGAATGTGCTGTTTTACAGATTACAAGTCTTGAGAAGTTGTACAGATGCACAGTCCTGAGATGTTATGTATTGTTCAGGTGGAATATAGCGGAATATAGAGGGAAAACGCTGTTCTTATGCCGCTCAGTGATGATTTATCTGTGTTGGAATGCAAGAACAGAAACAATGTTTTCATATTGAAGGCCAAAATAGATCTCGATTATGTAAATTATGCGCATCCATGCTCTTGTTTTCCTCTTTGTGAAACGGCAGAAGTGACGCAACCAGAAACTGTAACGCGTTTCTCAAGCGCACATGAAAGTCTTAATTTTTTATTTTTGCAAATGTCCCTTTAGGGGCTCCGTATTTTTATGACTTTTCGAGATTTTATAAAATTTTCATGACTTCGAGATTTTGTTCATTTTGATGACTTTTTTGAGGTTTTGTTCAATTTTCATGGCTATTTGAGATTTGGTTAACTTCCATGATTTTTTCATAATTTTATTCATTTTGATCAGTTTCTGAGATTTTGATAAATAATTTTTTTTTTTAATTTTCATGGCTATCCGAGATTTGGTTAATTTTCATGATTCTATTCAAGATTTTATTCAAGATTCATGACTTTGAGATTTTATGAATTTTTAATGACTTTTCAAGATTTTCAATTTTCATAACTTTGCAATTTTATACATTTTCATTACTTTTTTGAGGTTTTGTTAAATTTTCATGACTTTTTCGAAATTGTATTAATTTTCATCAATTTCCAAGATTTTGTTAAATTGGCATGTTTTTATTTTTTTATTCAATTTTCATGGCTATTCGAGAGATTTGGTTAATTTTCATGACTTGAGATTTTAATATTTATGACTTTTTGGAGATTTTATTCAATTGATGACTTTTTCAAAATTTGATTCATTTTCATGACTCTCCGAGATTGTTAAATTGTCGTTTTTTTTTTTTTTTTTTAAAGTTTTCATGGCTATTCAAGATTTGGTTCATTTTAATTACTTTTTGAGATTTTATTAAATTTTCATGACTTTTTTGAGATTTTATTCATTTTCATGACTTAGAGATGATTAATTTTGGAGTGTTTAATAATTTTCATGAGGAATCTAACGTTTCCATGACTTTACAAGAGAAACATCTGCAATTTTTTTTATTGCAAATTACACAATTGCATCACTAAAGATGACATGAGAAATAAACAGAATGAACATTCATCAAAACTTACAATGGCACAAATGAACAGTCAACCAACAGAAAACTCAACTTTGCTTTGGATTTTTCACTATTAAAATGCCAGGCTGGATTATTATAGCAGCTTTCAGTGTTTAATTCACAACGTCAACATGTCAGTTATTTCAAGCAGAGCTTATGATCAGCTAACAGACAAAACGATGAACCAAGAACACAAAAATTCCAAACTGTCCTTCCGTTTCACAAAATATTTCATATT